GTAATCCTTATTATTGAAGAAAATAAAGAGATGAAAAGTTTCTCAGCAATCTATACGCAAAATTCTAATTAAAAATTTCTTTTCTTCTTGCTACTGTTTAGTTATGCTAGATTTTTCTGTGCACAAGACTCTGCACTGTTCAAACTAATAAACATTCAGAGAACTGGTTCTACCTTAAATAATTCTTTGACTGATTTGACTTTGTTAATAATTTAGCAACTACTACACATAGATAAAGTGACTAAAATTAATTAATCCATGCACAAGTTGTTTAATTTATATGTGGTCATTGTAGATTGAGGTGAATGGGAAGAATGAGGCGCCCCTTTACAAATTCCTGAAATTACAGAAAGGTGGGCTCTTTGGAAATGGTATCAAATGGAACTTTACCAAGTTTTTAGTTAACAAAGAAGGAAAGGTTGTGGAGAGATATGCTCCTGTGACATCACCTCTTAAAATTGAGGTCAGATTGCTGTTGTGGTTATTTGTTTGTTTGTATTTGGTGAACCAATTCAGTTCGGCTGACGACAACTGCTGATTTATCTTTCTTTGCTTTGTGCAGAAAGACATCCAGAGTCTATTGGAATCTTCTTGAGTATCAACGTCTGATATGTTTCTATACGAAAGGATATGCATTAGTCTGTTGCACTGGTGTAATGATTTTTTATTTTCGTTGAAAAAAACCTGTTTTTGGTAAAGGACATTTGAATTCCAAATCCTATGGCCCTCTACATGTCATCACCTCCTTTGCTATGTTGGCATTTATTTTATGATAGAATGGTTCAGATGATTTTAAAGATCTTTAAGGGTGTTTTCACGTGATGTACAATGCCATCTATAAACTAATTCATACTCTGTTTAGTTATTTATTCCTTTTAAGCTAACAGTTCTGCAAGGGAATTGAATCGGCGCCAGGATTAGAATTATCTAGTCTATGACAGATCTGGGTTTTATAGATACTTTCTCGATTGCCTTCCATATAAATAAACAAGCACATAAGAGATCTGGTCTCTTTTTCTAATTATGGAATGTAAGGTGAACTTTAGTTGAGAGTTTCAACCATGCTTATGTAATTCAAATACCGCAATGTTGGTATCTTTGCTTTCTCCTTTGGCAAGTATTGCATCATTATTGCAGATCCTAACTTGCATATGCATCTAACACGACTCTGATACGATGTCCTCAGTTGGAAGGATTTCTGAAAACCCAAATACAGTTTGGATTTTCAATTTTATTTTGTTTCTTCTGGAGATAGATTAGGTTTGAGAAACTTGCATCATCTGACTCTTATCATTATCACTGTGATATTATTGCAGGACAACAGAAAGTGTATGCTTTGGCTTTGCAGAAATAAAAACGTGGGTGGTAGATGGAGTAAATTGATCAAAGCATGATTGATGTGTAAAAGTATGATTATGACTCTAAACAAATACATGCCTTGTTTATTAAGAATAGATGGAAACTTGTTCAAGGTCTCTTTGTATTGTACAAGGGGAAAGCATATCCCGATTAAAGCTGTATACCCACGTTAATATTTTATCATCAATAATTAAAATATATTGTTTTGCCCGTAACTTAAAACATATTTTGAAAGATAAGCATGCACAAATGGCTTCCATGGAACAAGATGATGGATTCTCCATCTTTGGAGAGCTTTCATATTAACAAGCAATGTGAAATGGGCAGTTAATTTTCAACCAGAGGCAACAAAAAAAAACCTTTCATACAAGTGATATGGGAGGAGGGGTAACTACTCACTTGAGCTACAAGCCCTTTGCCTCTCCTTGAGATTTAAAATGAAATTCTTCTCTGTTTTATGGTTGAGTGACTTAATCCATTTTCTCACCACCCTTAACTCCGTGGGCTTATATGATACGGATTCGTTAAAAACTCTAGTATCATGACCATACAACTGATTAATTTTCAAGTATTTCCGCTGTGCCTTTCGCATTAATCTTCCAACTCTAAGATATATTGCAAAAAGTCTAAAAAACAACAGTTAGGCCAATACATTCAGATTCAAATGTGCGCACAAATGAAGATGACAAAAACATCTCTTACCATCCCAGTCTTTGATAAGAAGCAGTTTGCCACAGAGACGATGCTACAGTTAGGTAAGTGATTTACATCAATACATTAAAACTTTTGGTTGCCCCATCTTACGAGTGACTCCTATATTTATACGGACACATTGAAACACATACAGTAAATATGCACACATAAATCAACAAAACGAGTGGGCCCACACAAATGGTTCGGATCATGAGATGACATTGTGGAGTGAGCTCAAACAAGCATTAGCGTTGTATGTACTTACTAAAAGGTTAGAGTGTTTCTGTACAGTAAATAAGCACACATGAACCAACCAAGCATTGAAATTAAGAGACTATTTGATTGCCCCAGCACAGTATACACAGATGCTACGTGTATGGAACCACATGTATAAAAGAATTGTAACAAGAAATCGGTTAGAACTCACAACTCTTCAGTTTAATGGAGGAAAATACTTCTTGTTAATAGGTCATCAACAGCTAAGTTCTATCTATTTCATCTATCTTCTCTAGCAATTCCTGAGCTATTTTCGATTTTCCATACCTTCGGAACGCATTCTGAAAAGCATCCCTCACGTAAACTGGTGGGTAAAACCCCTTTTCAATCATTGATTTTAGTTTCTCATATGCAGCTTCTAACTGGCCATCTTTACACAGCTTCTGCAACGTCACGGTTTCCAACTTCCTTTCCAATTTAAGACACAAATCCATCTGCCCATTTTCCCTCAAAATTTTGTCAACTAACCTGTAAGTGTGGAAATGTGGTGAGCAGCCCAACCCAAGCATTTCTATCAATAAGCCATAAGCAGTTTCCCAATTTCTAGCTTCGCAATAAGCATGGATCAACGCAGAATAGGTCATACCATCTGGAAGACATCTATTCTTGTTCATTATCTTAAAGACCCTTTCAGCATCATCCACATTCCCTAATTTGCATAGCATAGTGATAACATGATTATAAACAGCCAACTTTGGTTTCATGGAGTGGGAGAGCATCCTCTCAAACAACTTGCTAGCTTCATCAACGTAACAGTGTTCACACAAAGCCTTCATCACAATGCAGTAGCCCTCTTCGACACAACTCAGCTTCTTACCCTCAACTGCCTTCAAGACCTTGACAGCCTCTTCCGCTTTTCCCAGTTGACAAAGGCCCAATATAAGCCGGATTATGACAAATGCACTAGGTAATAAACCCAATTTATAAACTTCCCAAAACACTCCAACTGCAGGCTGTATAGCATCACTGTTTCCACCCACTTTAGGAACTAAAATTGTAAAGGTTCTATAAGGATCTTTCACTCTTACTTTCTCAACAGCTCCTTCTTTCGCACTAAATAAACACAAATCTCCAATAAGAACATTCACTGCAGACCGAGTAGGAACCAAGCCAGACTTACACATATCACCAAAAACTTCAACGGCAGTCTCAAATCTACCAAATTTACATAAACCAACGAGCATGTTACTATACGAATATGTATCAGGGGATTTGATTCTCCGAAAAACTGCAAGTGCAAAATCAATTAAATGCCCAGATGACTCCTTCTTACAAAGCACGTAGAGCATATTATTGTACACAAGATTATCGGGTTTACACCCAAATTTTGATTCCATTTCTTCAAACACGCAAAGGGCTTCTTTAATCCTCCCTTGCCTACCCAGAAACCTAATACAAATGGACACAGACCGACAGGAAACTCGACCCTTGTGCGAAGACACAGTCAAAAGAAGACACTTCATATCATCAAAGAGCTTCCTCCTACCTAAGAAATCAGCCATGTACTCAACCACAGAGTCATCAAACTGAAAACGCATTTGAAATCCAGCCCAAGAAAAGAACTGCAAGGTTTTACTCCTACCCAACTGCTTATAATTCATCAAAATTTGAAGCACAAGTTCTGAGCTCAACATTTCTTTGAAGTTTTTCAACAAACTATCAATGCTTGTGATTTCATGGGTATTTTTAGAGAGTAAAGAGCATACTGAGTTGACAATAGAAGCACTTACTGTGTCTGGAACTCGTGGGACTGGTGCAGCGAGAGAAATGGGTCTTCTTGTAGTGGATTTTCTTGGGATTGTGGTAATGTGATTCTGGGTTGTGGATTTTGGATTGGATTTAGAAGAAAATGGAGACAATTGGGAAAAGGGTATGAGAATTTTGAAGATAATTGGAGAATGTGTGAGAGCTCCATTTTTTGTTCTACTCAGGGAGAGCATTAAGGTGGAGTGTGAGAAGGTCCAGACGGGAAAGGGGTTTAGCAAAGGCAAGTGCGGGTCGGGTTTGCCATGTTCACTTCTGTAGGGTCTTTATAATGTAAGCCCTATTTTTTAACCGTTATATCAAATTAATTAGCCATTAAATTAAATTAATTAGTTTAATCTAATAGTTAAAAGATAGAGACTCGTCTAATAGCCTTAGATAAGGCCCTTACTATAAAATAACAACCGCCTTCGGCCATCTCCAATGCACAAACACAAAACTCAAATATAACTTTTTATCAACCCAAAATTCATCTACGAGTTTGAGCTTAACTCAAAACCCAAAGAAAAGAAAAGCCTGGCTGATAGTGCTTATTTATCTCTGTATTTGAGGTCTTAAGTTCAATTTCCTCTTTCCAATATTGCTTGGGTTGCATAAAAAAAATAAAAATATGAACGCAAACATTTAGTCGTACATTGGAGCGAAAACAGCTAAAGAATTTGTATTTAGCATTGGAGATGATGTTAGCGCGATAGCATCTCTCAATAAAAAATTTGACAGGTACCAAAACCAGAAATGAAATATAAAGCAGAGAAAGATTCATATCCTTTTCTGTAACCCCAAATAGGGTTAAATTACATCATCAGATTCAGATCTTAACACGTTTTTTCATTAAAAGAACTGCACATTCCTAACCTACGTATCATAATAAATAATGAAGTTGAATAATTCATCGAAACAAGTCTCTTTGGACCGCAACCGTGGCAAAGCTGGAGTTATTTCTTTTGATATACAAGGTTTTTTCAGCCAGAAGATCACAAATTCTCACAAGCAGATTGTTCAGGATATAATCGAAGCTTTAACATCAAATGGTAGGATGATTCATTCTCAGCGTTTGACAAACTAAAATCACTTTGTTTTGCTCAATTTTATCCTCAACAATTTTTCCCAACTGCAAATGGGATGTTACAGCCTCCGTGAATATTTAAGCCGAAGCTATGTCGAAGATAAAATCAAAATCAAACATAAAACAATCACACTTTGGTTTCAAAGAATGGTGGCCTCAGGCTCTCAGCTACAAATTACTTTAGGCATTAGCAAATGCCAGCACTCATTTTACCATCACATGGCATTTGCAGTCACCTTGAGCTAGCTTGCTTGAAACACAACTTATTTCCGTTTATAGTTTCATCTGTATCCTTTTTCTTCCTCCTTTTGTGAATAAATTCGAACAAGGCAGCAGACATCCCTCGCATATTTATTGAACACAAGAATGCCACTTAGTGAATCGAACTCATGTCCTACCGCTCCTACTTGAAAAATGAAATCCACTTCACCATGATTCGAACATGACTCTAGAGGTTGTTGAGTAGTTTCATCATCTTGGTTAGATACACTACAGCCCACCCAGAGAACAAATAAATCAATATAAATGATAAATATAAAATCACTATCATTAATACGGTTTGATTTAAAAGTGAAGGAAAACAAAATAACAGCAGAAGTCTAAAGAATCTAAAATCTTGCCCAGGAAGTATAACAGAACAAAATAACTACAGAAGTCCAAGGAAGCTAAAAATTACATTACCAAGAAGACACTGTTTAACCAGCAAGCCATTTAAATATGGATTATCATCATGATCATTGCTAGGTTTATCGAAACAAACCTTGTGTTTGCCCATGTATTTATTGACTGACAATTAGATGACTAAAAGATTCCAGATCTTGTTGATTGTTGCATCGACATCCTTGAAGAGGAACTTAAGAATTGATGGCTCAGATCATTATACCACATTGTGGCATGGTCAAACTATGAGATCCTTACTTCTTCTAAAGGGTTAATTACAATTTTGGTCATTGGGGTTTGGCTCGAAATCAATTTTAGTCACCATGATTTCAACTTTCCCAATTTCGTCATTGTACTTGCAGTTGTTAATAAATCAGGTCCAATCCTTCATTTCCGTCAGTTGAGCAGGGGCTTTATTGTCCTTTCGTCCCAGCTCAGCTGTCTGTCTGTCCGTCTCTCTCTCTCTCTCTCGCACAGTCGCATCCTCATTCGTTCAACCAAACCCATACCAAATCCCTCATCTTCTCTCTCTCTTCTCAATTCCCAATCAACAACTTCCACCCCCAGCCCAACTCTCAAAGAAATATCAAGAGAACCCTAACAAAGATCACTACCTCTCACTCCCCCCACTCACACACTCGCAGAACCCATCCAATTTTCAACCTTCAATTCACAAAACAATAAAAACTCATGTAACCAAATATGAAATTAAATACAAAAAAGATATAAAAAAAGCTTTGGATCTTGTTGCCCTTGCCGACCTCGTACATGCACCAAGAGAAGGCACCAAAGGCACCAAAGAAAATGGCCACTGCACTGGGACCCTTGTTTGAGTGGCAGCGGTGTCACTAAGGACGGAGAAGAGCTTGATCTGGACAGAGGAGAGAGAGAGAGAGAGAGAGAGAGAGAGAGAGAGAGAGAGAGAGAGAGCTGGGCTGGGAATGGAAATTGGGAATTGAGAAGAGAGAGAGAAGATGAGGGATTTGATCTGGGTTTGGATGAACGAACAAGGATGCGACCGTGCGAGAGAAGAAGAGAGAGAGCTGGGCTGGGATGAAAGGACAACAAAGCCCGTACCAAACTGACGGAAATGAAGGACTGGACCTGATTTGTTAACGATCGCAAGTACAGTGATGAAATCGAGAAAATTGAAATCATGGTGACCAAAATTAAATTCGACCCTAACCTAGGTGACCAAAATTGTAATTAGCCCTTTTCTAGGCTAAACTAAGGTCATCCTTACAAGAGACTAATTTTATCTCATACCTGATGTACCTAATAAAACCAAGTACAGTATTTTGTTTGTGGATTAACTACTATCCTCAAGGTAAATCAAATAGAAATAAATGCTTGCAGTACCACAACAAATCCCATACACTACTTTTCTGGCAACGCTAGCCATTAAAAGGAAGTTTAACTTGAGCTCCTAGCATCTGTATAATGCCTGCTGTTTGAAATTTGATACCTTATGAGATCCTGTGGAGAAGATCCAGATAGCTCCAATCCAATCACATCATCCTTATCCTTAACTAATCAAATTCAATTTATAATTCATAAGCAATAATTGCTATAAGAAACAGGAACTACGCAAAATAAGTTCTGACTGAATCACATGCACACAAACGACAAAAAGAAAAAAAGAAAGAGAAGAAATTGTGAATTCCTTTCTAAGGTTTTCTCCCTACCCTATAAATTTCATCCTGCAAATATTCTGAAATGTAAATCACAAACTACCATGTATGTGCCTCTGTTTTTGTTTGCATGCATATTGTATCTACCAACTAAACTGCACAAGGAATAATTCAAAAACAACCCTACCTTGACATCATCACGTGAAAAACGAAGACAATTCCCACGAAATGAATTCCACAACGCCTGCCAGCTTTGCACTCAACAAGCAACATCAGCGGTATGTGATAGAGCTGAACAATATCATACTTATCATGATCAAGTAGCAAAGAACATAGTGAATTTATCTGCACCTAGTAAATTAGTAAAAACAACAATATACTTAAAAACTACTGTCCGGAGGTATGAATAATAGGATCCAAAGTTCCTGACCTTGTGATGATTCATAATGGAAGGTGGTATTGGTCCTGCTTACACTCAAGCAGCATCATCTGTAAGCCTTGCCGCAGAATATAAAACCTATGCTGCATGCATACAGTTATAGGATTTGTGAGACGATACGACAATACCAAAAACCTCCAAAAATAAGATACAGGTACCACAACGGATACAACAATGAAATTAATTTTCTTTTTCTTATCTAACGTACTGTTTTTTGTTTTCATATTAACTCTTTTAACATCTTAAAATGACACTTAGATACCCTTTTTCAGAAACAACTTCAAAACCTTTTAAAATGACACTCTTAGCTCCGTTTTTCCTATACTAATTTTACAAATAACCCCTTTCGTATCTATCTTGATCACTTTTGTATACATCATGCATGCCTCACATATCCATGCCATATCCAAAAATCAAATTTTCCTAAAGGGAAACTGGATACAGACTTGGAGCATATGGTATCTGTCAAGGCATGCCTTATCAGTATCAAATCCTCCATTCTGAAATTTTTGAAGTATCATGCTTAGGACATTTGAATCAGATTTACCTCCTTCGAATAGCAAGCAGAAATTTCTTCTAGCTTTCTTGCAATTTATAGCCACTTTGCAAGGTAAGAAAAACTGTAGGATCACTCCATTAAGCAGGCAACTGTCATTCATATCCTCACGGTGCATATGCTTGCACAAAGACTCCCACACAAATACTTTTCCACTCCTCAAGAGAACCTTAGACCAAGGTCCAATGAGTCATCAGTGGCAAACAACAAAAGTTCCGAAAACACACTACTTTCTGTCAGATGTCTCTTTGTCCAGAAGCCAATGGATGTCCTGCTCAATTAGTTGAGACTAATACAATGAATATAAGGAAGAATAATAAACAGAAATAAACAAAACATAATTAAATAAATAAACATGTCCAGTTAAAAACAGAGGCAACCTAGATATCAGCAGCGCCAACCGTTTCAGATTATTGGTCCAAACTATCAAGTAAACTCATGTAAGGTTAAGCTGGCCTCAATTTAGACGAGTCTTGGAGCTTCCAATACTTTGAAGTTTTCACAACACAAGCATAGATTACCCCCTTCTAAATGATAATAGTCTTTAAAAATTCTGCTTTCCTAGTTATAAATTAAAAAGACGAGCAAATGAAATAAACAAAACATATGATCTAAGTCATTAAACAGAATACTTGGGAGAAGAGAAAAAAATCATTAAAGATTGAGTTTACACAAGCAAAAACAAAAACCCCATTCTAGGACCCAGAAAGCAGAGCTGAGCAAAAGGTTAAAGCATGCCTATCCCTGGACTGAAAGTCTTGCAGAACAGTCCAACAAAGGCAATGTATGCTTTTTGTAGTGAAACATCCTACTGGCTACTGCTGTGTTATTCTTGCTCATTCAATTGTAAAGATCTTGTCAAAATGAAACTACAATTCTTCCTAGTTCCTAGTGATCTCTACATGCCACATCAAGGGTCCTTATAACCTAAAAATAAAGCACAAAAGACAGTTGACAGGTAGCTTAATATACAGCTTGAGGCAGCTCAATCACATAATGTAGTTATGATGGCTTCATCTACAACACATCAATCGGTACCGACATTTTTTCAGGGTAAGCAAATGCTACTGATAAGGCAAACTTGAGGAAAAAAAAAAAAATTGCCAAGTGCAAAATTCTCCAACTAACCAATGATCTTACACATGTAAAGAAAATTTTCTTTGCAATAAATAATGATGAACTACCATACACTAGGTTGATCGCTTAACAGACAGGTCCACCCAACCATTTACTATAGGATTTACAGACAAACAATTGGTACAAGTAATTGTACAAGACTTCTAAGTTAAGTGCATTTCCTTAATCCAGTCCTTGGATAATAAATAATGGCTTAAAGGTCCATGCATACATGCAAAATGTATTACCACTCATAAAATTTACATGCATATACGGAGAGAAATAGACATGCTTAAATGTGCATGTACTCACACCAAATACTAAAACCCTCGCCTTAATTCAATACTTTTCAAACAATATTTAAAACTATTAACTTCAAAGAATTCTAGGAAAGAAATAGTTTGACACTTTATCTATGCAAATATTTTCAGTTAGAATTTAGATTTTCCTCTTTTTCTAGGGCATATAGTGTATAACATTCACTCCTAAAAAATAGCACAATGAAATGAAATGGTTCATAGTATAAATAAAGAAAAAGATATATTTTTATGTAAAAGAAATGAGGTGAGTTGGAGAGACGAACCATCTGGCATATGCTATCCGATAGTTGAAGAGCTTCATCCCACTTATTAATTTTAATGAGCCCTTTAATAAGGTCAAACAATGTCATAAGCTCTGGAATACCACCTTGCCTTACCATGTCTGCAAACAGCTCCAGTGCCTTACCAACCTTATTTGCATGTAAAAGACTTTCAATCAATGAAGTATACATATTCTTGTTCGCAGATGTAAAAGGTGAAGATGATGAAATCTCGTCATGCAGCTCAAGAGCAAATTCCAATCTTCCAGCCTTTACAAAATTATCAATCAAAACTCTGTATATGTGAATAATTGACACTGAACCACACTCACTCATCTCATCTAAAATCCCAAGAGAGTTCATGAACTCTCGGTTGTAACCTTCAATAACTTTATGGTAGCCTACCATATGCTTTGGCCAATATGTTTGTTTCATTTCATCCAAAAGCTTATGAGCTTCATCCAAAAGGCCAGTTGAACAGCAATGGTTTATCAAAACCCTGTACGTGACAAAATTTGGAGCACAACCTTTAGAGCTCATTTCTTTAAAGAGCTCAAGACATTTTTCGATTTTACCTGCTTTCCCAAAGCCATCTATCATTGCAGTATAAGTAACAACATTTGGATAACACCCCTTTTCTTCCATCATCAGCATAAGCTTATAGGCTTCATCTGTCTTCCCAACTTTACAAAGACCATCAATCATCTCTGTGTAGATAACAACATTTGGTGCACAAGAGTTTTCTAGCATTTTAGACAAGACTTTTAAAGCGAGATCTAGTCTTTTATCCTTAAACAACCTATCAATCAAAGAGCTGTAAGTGTACACATTTGGACTGTACCCTTTCTCTGACATCTTAGTAAACACCTCTTGCGCTTCATCTAGCTTCCCATATTTACAAAATCCATCTATAAGGGCATCATACACAATATGGGTAGGTTCACAACCTTCTACCGACATAGCATCCAATAAGTCACGGGCCTCTTTGACCTTGTGTGCTTTGCATAAACCATCCACCAAAGCTCCATAAGTATAAACATTAGGTTCTTTCATACTCTGATTGTCAATTCTAAAATACATATCAACATCAGGGATTTCCACATTACCTCTCATCCTTTCATAAATCAGGCAGGCCTTTTCAATTCTACCAGCTTTACAATGACCGTCAATTAAAGCAGTATAAGTAACAACATTGGGAATGCAACCTTCAGTCAACATCATCTCAAAAAGTTGATTTGCATCAGACACCTTCTTTGCTTTAAGGTATGCATGTATAAGAGCAGTATAAGTCACCACGTTAGGAGCACAGCCATTTCCTACCATTTCATTAAACCAGCTACGAGCCTGTTCAATAAGGCCAGCTTTAGAAAAACTATCAATTAAAGTAGTATAGGTATAGACATCAGGAATAATACTATTCCTTTTCATTTCTTCAAACAACAAAAATGCTTGTTCTACCTTGGATGAATCACACAAAAAGCCAATAACTTTAGAGTATGTACTAGTGTCAGGCACAAAACCCTTGCTCATCATTTCATGGATAACATTAAAGGCTTTCTCATATTTTCGGGCGCCACAAAGACATCGTGCAAAATTGCTCACATTGACCTTATTTAACACAACCCCTGCATCAAGCATCTCACCATAAGCTTTTTCAGCCAAATCTAACATATCTGAGCTAGGTAATTCCTCGTTTCCACATATACCACCAATCAAGATATTGTAAACCACATAGCCTGGGTGGCACCCGCATTTTACCATTTTCTTAAGCAACTTGTAAGCATAAAAGTAATCTCCTAACCTGCAATACGCATTTACAAGAGAATTAAATATCTTACGGCTTGGATAACAACCTTCTGTGATCATCATACTAAGAATCCTCTTGCACCTACCAAGCTGTCTTTTTTTTAAACAACCACAAAGCAAAATCCTATAGGTTACGACGTTAGGAATGCAAGAATCACACCGCATTCTGTTCAAGAAATCCATGGCTTCCTCAAAAAGTGAAGCTTCACACAACCCAGATATCATCTTTGTATAAAGAGAAGTATTGGGCACAAACTCTTCCTTCTCAATCAATGTGAGCGCTACCTTCCACCTCCCAGCTTTGCAAAGGGCGTGAACAAAGCAACCAAGTGTATAATCATCCATCTTAAACCCCAAATCCGACATCTCCACATGAACCAAGTGTGCTGTATCCAACCTATCAGCTTTTAGAAACACTTGAACCAAAACATTGTAAGTTGCTCGAGTTGGCTTGTATCCGAAATCCTTAAGCCTCCCGAGCTCTTCCAAAGCTACATTCCACAAACCATTTCGGCAACACTTCCATATCAACACGTTAAGCAACTTGCCAAGCACCTCTCTATCATCACCCTTAATTTCTCGGAGAAAATGTTCTGGAACTCTATCATTACTACCACACTCCAATAACTCTAACAATGCATCATACACAGGACCAGTGTGACTATACCCAATTTGTCTACCTGCCCATATGAAAAACTTCACACCTAATTCAGGATTTCGAATAAGCTTCAGTACTTCCATCACCAGAGTTTCATTCAGAATATCCCTAAACTGCCTAAGAAACTTCTGGGTTTGGTCACCAAACGCATCATTATAATTCCTAATCTTATTCGAAATCAAAATGGCATTATTAGAAAACTTATCTGATTCAAATTTAGGCGTTGAAGACCCATCACCGGCACTGATATCTAACACCGAATCACGCAAAGAGGCGAATTCCTCTGCCGAAATAGACTCAATTCCAGAACTCCCAGGCATTGAAAAGTCGTGAGGATCGACCAGACCATCGAGATTGTCCGGCGAAGAAGTGCAAAGGAATCTGGACAGGCAAAGTTCGAGATTTTGGTGAAAGAATTTGGATGGAGAAGGGAAGGCTTGTGATTGACTTGTGGTGAAAAGGGGGTTGGATTTAAGAGGGGACGATGACATGGTGGAGATTGAGTGCAAGAGGAGAGTTTTCAAACGTCTTCGGCTCATTTTTGAGCTGCGAGAGTTTGAAGTGAGTAGTTATTTCAGGGTTTATGATGGGGTTTTGTTTTCAGGCCAAAAATTTTTTTTTTAAAAAAAAAAGGAAATAAATAGGGTTACCAAACAAAATAAAAAATACGGGAGATGTTCTCTGGTGCGAACGATTATTTGAGGACAACACTTTTAGCCGTTGGATCGAAATTAACGGCTGGGATGAAGACCCGAACGTGAATGCCCACTTTTTCTATTGTTTTTTTTCTTTCTTTTCTTCTTCACAATCTGTTGTCTTTTCTTCTTCACAAAAAATAATCAAACTCGAACACCCCAAATTAGTTTCTTTTTTGATGAATTTTGTTGTTCCACCAGTTCGGTTGATATTTTTACTATAGGAATTGAAACATATAAATGTTTCTTCTGTAGAGTACGAGCAGAATCAATGAGTTGAAGTACATTCCATATATATCAAGTTGATTTGAGCTCAACCGTTATTGATTTAAGCGCTTCTATTATTTACTTCTATATTTTCAACTATATTATAAAAAATATAAAAAAACTTTAATTATATATAAATCAAAACTCGACCGTATAATTGAATTTTATTGATAAGCAAGAGAATATACACATGGTTAGGGGGAACGCAATGAACCTTACCCATCAAAATGCATACTTACACATAACTAAATACTTAGATACAAAAACAACAATACATTAAATAAACATGCAATGCAAATACAATCTTAAACTACTTAAGTGGTACCCTACGAGTCTTCAAAGCATTAAACTACTCGATTATCAAATAAATAAATATATATATATACATATATTATCAACAAGTTCTCTTTCTATGTAGAGAATTATCTCCAAGAAACTCATCCTCCATCTTGTTTCGAAGACAGGTTTTAATGAGTTTCATAGATGAAAAAGCACGCTCTACCGTTGTTATAGAAACTGAAGGAGTCAGACGAATTAGTTTCTCAATCAAATAAAATGTATTTCTTGTTTAAACAAGTTCTTGGAATAATTGAGAAAGATACATATTATGAAATTGTAAAAGATGAGAGAGTTCAAACTCATAATGTAGAAGCTCTTCTCTTAAAAGATGAATCTCATCATCTTTGAAATCTTCATGATAGAATTTCTCTGCCAACCCACATATTTTGTCATATGAAAGGTTTTTTTTTTTTTTTTTGGTAGAAGTTGCAATTCATTGCAAACCCTCAAAGGGGTAGAGAACAATACAAACAAAGCCGAGCAAAAGCACCGGCCATAAAACTAATGGAAAACAAACATGAACAAATCTAGCTAAAACTAGTATAGTATAGCATGAAGATCATGTTCTCGAGCCAAAAACTAAAATGTCAAAAGCCAACAAAAAGACATTTAGCCTACATAAAGACATATAGCCCACAAAGAGGCATTACGCCCACATTCAGCATAAAGCCCACATTAAATATAAAATACATAAAATAAAACACAGGAAACCTAGCCGACATAACCAAAGAGAAACTCCAAGCCGCCACCACCAGCAAAGAGAAACTCCACAACTGTAGATGGACAAACCACCAATCACCACCATGAAGAACCAAACACCCGTAGGTCAGCAAACCAAGTCATCCCTCAAAACATAGCCCACCCAAGATTCACTAACAGATCCAGAAATGACCCAACCAATACATCCGAAAGACAGTAACCAACAAAACAAGAATGAGAAAACGCATTCCACAGTCAGGAGGAAAAGAACCAAGAACCTAGAAGGAGGTGGTGCAAGCACCTGAGCTAGAGCTCTACACACCTTCCAATAAATACGCGCCAAAACGCGTTTAAAATTTGTAGCTACAAACCAAGGATGATGCCAGATCAAAGGGGAGGTAAAGGAATCCAAATGAGCCATGGATTTTAGGTAGGTATGGAGCAGGACTAGGATAAAGATGGTGGTGATAGGGGAAATCATGCCCATGGTCTTCATCCCACTAGATTGGAAAAAGGGGGAGAAGAAGGAAGATGAGGGGAGGGGAGGAGGGGTAGACCAACTCTCCTCCTCCTCGCCCCCCCTTCCCCAAGATACGGCGTTGAAGGGGTAGGGGGTTTTGTTTTTCTGCTAGGATTAAAGAGAGAGAGATGTGGCGCTCGAGGAAAGATTGTTTTTCTCGTAAAGTCTTCAATATGAAATGATTTGAATGCATCACAAGGATCCAATGTTGAGCTAAGAGTAAACAGTTCAATTGCGCTCTTTCCAAATATGTTTTCTAACTCTATCAACTGAAAATCTATTACAACATTAAATATATCAATATGAATGCTCAACCGTAATAAAATTTTGTTGTTGGCAAAAACAACATGTACCCTTTATATGAGGAACTCTCAAGTCTGGAATATCAATCCATTTATTTTCACAAAATGATACCATACCCCCAATGAAAGCTTCCCAACCACTTTCCCTCAACATTGAAAAAAGAGACTTTGTGCTTAAAACCAAGTTCATAGCATTTACGATGAGATTGAAGTTGGAATTGTTTACAAAGAACATTAGTGATTCCCATAACCTCATCCATCAAATGCAAGTTAAACACAAATTCAAAAGACATCAAAGCTTTATAAGCACTCATAGCTTCCCCATGTATTTTGTTGTTGAGTCCATTCATTCACATGTTTTGTGGAACTATATCAACATTGCTTAAACAAGACAATTAATCGCCTAATAGAACCAAAATGAGAACTCCAATGAGTAGCTCCAACTCGTTATAATGTACAGATTTGATTAAGCCTAAAGTCAGTTTCAACTTCTCCATCTACAAGTTGGTTTGCAAGTTCAGCTTCTTGAGAACACTTTAAGTTTCCTTTTAAGAATCATCTATGAGTAGATTTATCCATCATCTTATTTGGCCTACCTTGAGTCTTGGTATTCACAAATGGTTCCACAAGTCACGTAATTTGTGGTGCTACTAACTCCATAAGTTTCCTTTTAAGAATCATCTATGAAGTTGCATCAGATTTCATCTAACGCCTATGACATAACTCTATCTTTGCATTATAGGAACACTATGAAGTTTTTCTTTTAAGTGGACATGTCAAGGGTTCCACCAATGAGGATTAATGCACTCAAGTGGAATATGATTTACCATCTTTCTTATATTTTACAATCTCATAGGCACATGGCCACCCATGAGTTTGTCGTAAGACATATCCACACGCCTCAGAGTCAACACCATTCAGGTTAGTTAGCTTGGTCTCCTCGAGGACCATATACAGTGCACGAATTGAGACAAAACCATGAGTTTCCTCATAATTTGAACTTCTAAAATCATAATGCACCACTGTTAAACTTTTTTCGAACGAAGCCTTAATTTCAATGTGTTGCAAATCAAGCAAAGCATGTATATTTTTGCATGTTGTGGCAATGCTCCTTAGCTTGTTCCAAGTTGTCATTTTAATTTTTCATGTGAAATTTCAGCCCTGTTGAAGTAAAAGTATAGTCGCATTAAAACAATTTGTATATAGTAATATGATTCAAATAAAGTATAAAAAATATAATTGGAACTTATAAGTCAAACTCAAAGATTATATATCACTTTTGCACCTATAAATCAAATAAAGTAAAAAAACAACATAATTGGCATTACCTGTTTGAAGTTGTATTCCCAAATTGCATGCATTTATCTATCCATGCGGCAATAAATCTGCCATTTTATGGGTTCAACAAGTATCTGTCACATTTTTAAGTAAATATGGATACTTACTAAACTCAGTGAATAGTTCTCTTGTCTCCCTTATGAAGTTGGCTTCAATAGGGGACACAACTAGTGAATTCCATTTAACCAAAAACCTATCACAATCATCCTTACTTTTACATTCAACTGTGCACTTGGCTAGCACGATTTTTTTTTAATGTGCCATTTACATAATAGATACTTAGTTGTACCAAACACAATGTTAATGGCTTTCATCAAAGCCAATTCTTTATATGTCACAATAACATCGGGCATAGTTATTTTCTCTATCACTCTCCATAATACACTTAAGGCCATCTCCAACCCAAGGGGTGGAAACCTAAATTATGAGTTTTGAGTCCAAAAATCTTCTCCAACCCATGTATTTTGGGGGGTGGAAATTTGGGAAATCTCAAATTTGTGATGGAATTCCTAAGGATGGAAAAAATCCGTTTGCTCCCTGACCCTAACGAGGGGAGATTTCGGGGCCAAATGGGTATCGGGTACAGGGATCCCCGAACTTGAAAAATCCCCGACGGGTATAGGGAGAGGATGGTATTGGCATCCCATCCCTAAACCCGACCTGAAAATATATATGTTTATATTTAAATAAATAAATAAATAATTATAATATTTATGTTTAACCCTAAGTTAACCTTCATCTCCTAATTCTTCCTAATCTTCTCTAGAATTTCATATTGATGTGATTTTGAATAGTTGAGTTAAACTTTATAGTTAATTTGGATGTGTTGAATGATAATTTAATATGAAACTTAATGTTAAAATGTATGATGAATATTTTTTATGTAAAAAAAATCAGGGATTCGGGGCGGGTAGAGGGGATAGTCCCCCAACGAGTACGGAGATGGGGATTCCCCTAAACCTATTAAACGAGGATGGGTTCGGGGATGGGGGCAGGGATGGAGAACGGGGACATGGATGATATTGTCATAACCAGCCCTTACCCGACTTGTTGCCATCCATAGGAATTCTAGTCCAAGTATTGCCTGGACTGGTATTTTATGTGGGCCCAAACTTTACTATCTTTTTTTTTTGGCTTGGAAGTCCACGTGAAGACCAAAAATTGGTGGGCCCAGCGTGACATTTGCTGTCTGGCGAGCATGTTATGCGACACAGCTGGCCCTTTGCATGTTGATTCCATTTCAATGGCCATAGTTTCAAAAGTTGTGTTGTGCTGTTTTTTTTTCCTTCCAACAGCTATATTTGTAATCAATGATCAAGATTAAATTAGGCAATCTGAACGATAAAATTTCACATCCAACGACACAAATTTAAATTCAAC